TGCTCAATCTGAACCTGCAGTTTCTCAGCTCAGAGCCCATTTGGTGTAGTGGTTAAGAGTCGCGGACTCTAATCTGGGATAACTGGGTTTGATTCCCCACTCCTCCACATGCAGCTGCTGGGTGGCCTTGGGTCAGTCAAAGTTCTCTTGAGAGCTGTTCTCACTCAGCCCCACCTACCTCACAGGGTGTCTGTTGTGGGGAGAGGAAGGAGATTGTAGGCCACTCTGAGACTGAATGAAGGGCAGGGTATAAATCCAATCTCTTCTTCTTCTTAAGAAGATGGCAGCCACTGAGCTGGTATGCCCACGGCTGTCTGGCCTGCCAAGCCTTTTATTGTCAAAATGAGTTCCCAGCTGCTTCCTTACCTCCTCAGAGTATCAACTGGGAAGTTTAAAGGATAAGCATGTATGTGAGGCCATACTGGGATGGAAAAGAAACGGGATGAATCATTTTGAGCAGGAAAAGTTGGAGAAGATTTTAAATCAAACTGTTTTCAAAAACTTCCTTTTGGGGGGAGGGGAGAAAGAGAACATCCTACTTTTACACTCATAGGCGGCATCAAGTCAGAACTGACTGATGGTGATCCCAGCAAGGGGCTTTCAAGGCAAGTGGTTGAGCAGAGGTGGTTTGCCATTGCCTTCCCCCCAGCACTGCCTTTACCCCCCAGCATTGGCGGCCATTCCTGACACTTTGTCAGGGTCCTTAGCCAGGTTACTGAACACAGGGCTTCATGAGACGGTAACTGTTTATTGGTACATCCAGTACTAGAGACACGTGTACAGCTTGTGTCAGGAATGGCTGCCAATACTAGGGCCTCTGACTTATACTAGAATCAAACATCCCCCCAGTAAGCATGAGCCAATGGCTACATCTCGCGCGGGCAGGCAAAGGAAAAGCCGTTAACTTTCCCAGCCGAGTAAAACTGCAGCTGGAGCATCTACAAGGTCAAGTATAAGATAGCAAACAGTCGGTGAGCCAGGGAGAGCTGAGACAGAAAACGGGAGGGCACCCCTCCACATTCCAGACCTATGACAGGGCTACCTGACACAGAGTCTTCCTTCCAAGTCCCAACCCCACTTAAGCGTCTGCGATCTGACTATACCGTGACTCCTTCCCTAACTTCCCCTTTGCCCCTTCAGTTTCTCTTACCCTGAACTAAGCAAGGCAGAAAGATCTCTTTTGCTTGTCAGCCCTGGACACACATGCCTTTGATTTCACGGCTGGAGTTCAGCACAGCTTCTGTCAGTGGTTAATTACTGTTTAATCAAATCAAGCCCCAGCTGAGAGATAATCCTGACACCGCCACCCCTGCAGAACCAAGTGCACGGTGGACTTGAGTTCATTCTTGGCACACTCCAGCCTGACAGGAAGCTAAATTTCTTCCTCTGCTGAAATTTAAGAACTAATCCTTGCATGGAAGAAAAATAAACCACAAAAAATTTTGCTTTGAAAATGTGCCATTTATTTTACAGCTGGAATACATGCAGGCTTGAAAAGGAATACAACAGCCTGAAGGCAGGAAAAACCAGCCCAACTCTCAGTACTGGAATCTATTTATTAAATAGAGATCAGTATACTTTATTTAAAAAGGAACGCAAGAGGAGATAGGGATGCATCCGAGAGAACTGCACAGCCATTGCCTCCCAGTGGTCTGGGGGGAGGGGTATATGCCTTACACTGAAGTACTGTATATATTGCTGTTCTTATTCAACAATGGATGGAAACTAGGAGACAACTGACATGCATGGTCCAGTTCAGATGAAGACCTTTGAAACGACTGGATAGTCCAGAAAATTTCGTCAACTCAACTTTATGTTTTGGACCTCTCTTCCACTTGTATTTTTGTCATACATTTTTATGTTCTATTGTTATAATTGTTTGCAATATAGCATCGTTTTTGCATTATTTAGCGCATGTATATGGCTTTTCCTCTCTTGTTCTCCTGCTATTAAAAGCAACCATCTTCTGTTTGCTTTGGTGTAGTGGTTAAGTGCACGGACTCTAATCTGGGAGAACCAGGTTTGATTTCCCACTCCTCCACTTGCACCTGCTGGATGACCTTGGGCAAGCCATAGTTCTGGCACAGCTGTTCTTGAAAAAGAGCAGTTTCCACCAGAGCTCTCTCAGCCCTAACTACCTCACAGGGTGTCTGTTCTGGGGACGGGAAGGGAAAGGAGTTTGTAAGCCGCTCTGAGACTCCGAGTGAAGGGCAGGGTATAAATCCATCCATCTCCTCCTCTTCTTCTTCTTTGTAGGTCAGCTATTCAATAGAAACAAAGCTCTCATCTGAGAGACTGGATTCCCACCAAAAAACCTCATTTGGTTTCTTTCTGCAGTGGAATGTTATATATGGATGTTATGGGGAACTATGAATGAGTCAGTTCCTATGTTAGCCTGCAGGTATCAAAGTGGAGAAAGTCAGAGGGTTTCAGGGCAAGTACTGAGGTAGAAATTATATCTCTCTTTTGAGCCCAACACAAAACTATCATATGGGGCATGCTCACATACAAAAGTGTTATAATTATTTCAAAACCACCAGAGAGAATTTAACTCCAAAATCTGCATGATGGTTCTGATTTACCCGCACACAGACCTCAGCCACAGTTGTCTGGAACTTTGAGAAATTACAGAGCATGGGCATATAAATGAAGTTAAATTAAACCTCTCCAGTTAAATTAATTGGAGGAGAGAAGAGGTGATCCAAATACAGTAGGTTTTCTGTGGGGTGGATCCTATGAACCACGCAGGCAAGGAACGTGAGACAGACTTTCCTTATCTTCCCTCAGTGTGCCTGTGACTGTTGAGAATTCAGGGGGTCGGATCCTATCAAAAAGATCAGTGTATGCAAGGGGGTGATTTTTGCCAGTCCCCCTCTGCCGCCTTATCCCTGCCACTCCTCCTACTGCTCCAACAGGAGCCTCCTGCCCCTCTAGAACAGCATTTGAGGCAGCATTGTGGGCAGCCAGAGGAGGGAAGGGGAAATCACATCACTGTGGACGGATGTTTTCGTTAGGACGCAACCCAGCGTGCACGAAGCTCTCCCAACCCACGGCACTGGCTTTGCGGCAGGACACGAGGCTGCCAGGAAGAAGGGAAAAGTCACCTCTGTAGGCCCCTTGTCCTTGAAGTTCAGGGGATCCCACCTGATCTGATGGACACCAATCCCTTTTGCCCTTTGCCATCCCTGCAGACAGGAGGAACGGAACCGGAGCAGCACAGGGACGGAGTGAGGCAAAGAGGATCCATCGGGGTGCCCCTTGTTCTTTAGCTGAAAGCAAGACCTGCCCAAAGCAGAAAGGGGCAAGTGTTGTTGTGCTCTGCCCTCTTGGAAGCATCATTCCATTAATATTTCTCCCAGATACATTCTTGGGGAGAACTTTTATTTTGTGTGTGTGCGTATATATATATATTTATATACACACACACAAACATACATACATACATATTTTGCTACAATCCTTAGCATGCATATGCTTCTAGAAACTATCAAGATGACATCAAGTCCTGGTACAACTGCCGGGACCACCGTGCAGCAAAGCATTAGGGACCCCCAAACCAGGTCCAACAGGACATTCACTTACTTGCAATGCTAAGGAAAAACTATCCCAAAAGTCATTGCTGTCAATAAAGCCAAATAGCCTTCTCCATTGCACACAGTCCCTATGTAGTACCAAAGATGGACAATTATTTCTTTCCAAAGCTCATACAATGCCACTCCACCAGGGAGAGGAATTGAGAGTACCAGCAAGGACATGGAATCAGGCATATGTGTCAGCTATGCTGCCCTGATGTTTATGGGCAGGAGTGCCTTTGCTTGGCCTGTGTACCAGCTGCTGCTGCATTCCCTCCTTCCTTATTATCTCTGACCTTGTAGACTGTCTGTGTAGTGTCTTCCCATCAATTACCCGTGGGACTAGTTTCGATTCCCAGCTTTGGCGTTAACGGCCTGGGGTCCCATTCTCTCTCGCGCGGGAGTCAGGCCGATTGGACTAGGGATGGGGGTGTGTGTTGCATACGAATACCCTATATCCCATTATGCTTGTAGGAACGTAGCCATTCCTAACAGTGACGATGTTACTGCCTCTATAGCTCTTACAATAAAGTATAACCTTATGATAAGCATGTACTCAATTGTTTGGCTGCGGAACCTTACAATATGCAACAGAGAGAGGAGAGGCAGCAATGCTGTATTCAAAGCACTTCTCTACCAGCGGGGTCTTTATGACCAACGCAATCTGAGATGATGGAACCAAGCATTATGGGAACTGACATTATTTAATTCCAGGCCACCAAACATCCATTCCATGAAGGTTGCGGACTCAACGCAGCATCAGTCTCAGTGTCACAGGTCATCCACGGAATGTGGAAAGAACAAGTGTGCATTTCAACATCAGCCGAGGGCCTTCTCCAATAAACGAACCATTGACCAGCCCCCATAAATCTGACATAAGGATAAAGGCCCTCAAGAGCAGAGGATGCAGCTTGCAGATAGAAGAGAAAGCCAGCAATGCTGGTCTTAAAGATCAAGCACCCTGTCCTCAAGAGAAGTCTCAAGTGGTTTAGCATCCAAATCAAAACCTAGGAGAGACCTTTTGTTTTGCTGTCGTTTAACAGTCCCTTCCACCTGTTCTTTATGGTTTTCCAATTCGAAATCAAGTTTATAAAGTCAAGACTACATTTTCATTCCAAAATCTATTGCACCCACCTGCCCATTCCTTTAAAAAAGAGCAGAATCGACACCCCACGTACTCTGTCTTTCCAGAAAATTTAAGAGCGAAAGTCAAGGTGAACTCAATTTGTTAGGCTCCATATTAATTTTACCTTTGACATTAATACACCACAAAAGAAAAATGCTCTTACACAGATAGAGCCATCTGATGAGAAATCTGTGCAGAAGAAAAGTGTCTCACACAACTTTCTGTAGTAACACAGTGGAATTGAATCTCCAGCTGGTGCTTAGATGGTTACAAAGCACAGTGAAGGAATTCAAGTGAGACACACGGTGATGTCAGTAGATGGAGGCTGCTTCTTGGAGAGCCAACATGGCAGTCAAGTTTCCCCAATGGACCATGGGAAAAAAACATCTGCAGCCTCAGGCCACTGACCTCTACATAGTTGTGGGACACCCGTTGTTATGCAACTTCCTCCTTCTTGCATCATGACTGAGGCTCCAGTCAGAGGTTTGGCCCAGAATACATGCCTGCCTTCACAGGGTCAAGTATGGGATCTGTTATACAACCAAAACGGCAAACCCTGAGTTATAAACAGAATGAAAAGCATTCTTTGTGACTCTGCCTCTCCAGCCTGAATCTTGCAGGCTCCTCAGAAGACGGAGGTCTGGGAAACACTGGAAGAACACCCACTTGGTGGCTATAAAGCAAGGTCACTGTGCAGGGCTAGCCTTTGTAGAGTGCCCCTCCCCCCAGCAACAGCTGGAGCAACACGCTGGGCATTACAGCTCAACCCTTTCTTTCCTTCATGTGGGAATTCCCAGTTACACTTGTAACTCCAAGCAGCATGCAGGATCAACAGGAGCGTAGTTCGGTGCATGGCTCTTACAACTGCAAAAGCAAATAGTTCACGAATACTAGACATAGGGTGGGCTGCACAATGCATAGAAAAAGAATTCCATGGGTAATCTCACTTCATTGTTCCAAAGATCTAGAAGTTGCTGGGCAAATCTGCATTTTGAAGGTGTACTCAGAAAGCAGCAAATGATTTCACAGGGGAAATTGGCGCTCCTTTGGTCTTCTCATTGCATTTGCCAGCTTCCAGTCGTAGCAGAGATGCTACACCAAACCATCTGTATGTATGGTGACACCCTTCAAGATTGGCGGTGCCAAGCTACATCTCACTGGAATAGAACCCCAGCTTGGCAAGGGACATTTCTTTCCTGAGCCGCATGATTTCCCAGTACATCAGTTCCACTGCAAGGCAAAAGCAAAAGGGGAAGCATGTAAGAAGCCTATGCAGCTTGTTCTGCATCCCACCCCAGAAATGCCATCTTGGGACCCAGAGTTTTTTGGCCTAAAAAAGAGCTACAAGGCAGGCAGGCACTTTGGCTAGTCTTCTCCCACGGGAGGCATCTTCTGTCAAATAGCCAGGCAAACATGCCTCCTTTCCGGAACAGACACATGTAAGGTAGAGTCACATCCAGAATGACCCAGAGACATAGAGCTCCTTTTCATTCAGCCAGACTGCAGCAGACATGCAACATTTGAGATCGAAGCCGAAAACAGTGTCTAGGAGTCATCTATCCTGTGACATAGGTTAGACTGAGAGAGTGACAAGCCCAAGGTCACCCAGCGAGCTTCATGAGGCTGAGTGGGGGGTTGACCAGGGTCTTCCCGATCTTAAGTCTAACCCACAGAGACTTCTGTCTCCACCTTCCTGTGTCTTTCTTTGTCCTACACCACCCCTGTTCTTGGACTGATCTGTACTGTAGAATCCCCAAATGCACTTTTCGTCCAGTATGTGTCCTTCACTGGAAGTGGTCCAATATCTTGGACCACCCTGGGGTAGCATGGGAGGATGAGTCCTCATTGGAGGAAGAGGAGGAGGGCCTGCCCTCAAGTCCTGCCCTGGGAGATGCTCCCTGCGAGGCGGATTCCTCAGTGCCTCCTGGAAGGCACCTTTCACCAGCACTAACACTGTGCCCTGACCCAGCAGAACCTCAAGTCAGGAGGCCTCAGCATGGACCTACCTGCTGTCAGACCCACCGCATTCTCTCCCGTGACCCCAGGAGCAGAGAAAGCGAAGAGCGAGGGCTGATCCCTGGACTGAGCCCATAAGCCTCCACTCCCTTGGCAGCCCAAAGCCTCCACTCAGCCGAGGAAGCATCTTGACCCTACGTGCAGGATCTTGGCCCTACTGCTCCTTGTGAGTAGAGGAGCAGACTCCGCTTGTGAGATGAGCCTAACACTGGAGCCAGCATCACCTGTTCGGAAACTCCCTCTAGAAGCCTGCAGTGAGGCAGGAGTCAGTGTGAGATCAACTTGCCTACAGCCTTGCTAGCTATATGTCAGCAAGCTGCCATAGAGTGGTGTGTTCTTTTCTACATATTACATTGTGCCCTGTCCATCCCCCCCTGTATCATCCTGTGTAGGTGTTTACTGTCTTTTGCTTGCTACATCTGCGGAACTGCTCAAGGTCAACCAGCTGGAGGTGGGATGGAGTTATGGCGTTGCTTTGCTTATTATGTATCTCATGCCTGAGAACTGAACTTGTGTTTATGTTGTAGAACCGTTGTGTTCCCAAGGAATTGGGCGCTAGTTTTATCTGCATTCCCGCCAGCGGGAATTGGACTCATTGGTCCTAACCTGGTTCAAGTTCCTTTATTATGTTTCCCTATGAGGTCTGTAGTCATTCCTAACAATTCTTGTGTTCCTGATCCAACCATCGCTTTATAATAAATTTAACTTTGTTCTTCAAACGTGGATTTATTTCGAATGCATGGGGAATCGGACACTATCCGACCAAGCTCCTTGCATCGCGAGCCCTCTCAGCCCTGGTGCCTGAGCCCCCCGGACTTGCTTTTGGACCTTGTATCTGGACTACACTCCCTGACTGTGAACTTGACTTTGGACTGTGACCCTATGACTGGACTCCTGAACCCTGTCCAGCAGGTCCTGTTGCTGTGGAACTCTGCTATGGCCCAGGGCTTTGCCCCCAGCCTGGGGAGCAGGACACACAAATCAAACACTGCAGTCCAACCCAGACTCATAACCAGCCAGCCTTTACTGGCTTCTCTAACGTTTCAACTTGAGCCCCCTCCCCAATGCACAATTTGCCCCCCTCCCCCAGAGATGATTCATTCCGATAAGACAGGAACCTCACTCATTGCAGTCCCTCTTCCAGCAGTATTTACGAAGGGGAAGAAGCGATTCCACTGCTAAGGAGGAAAGGTCAAGCGCAGAGCTAATTCAGCTGATTCCAGGAGGCACTGGCTGAATAGACGAACCAGCAGGGAGCAGCAAGGCCTCCACATTTAAGGATGGGGTGATGGGAGAGGAGAGGAGAGGGTTACTTACCATCTTGCCTTACCAGTCCCTGCTGGATATAGCGGATGTAGGTGAAGAAGTTGCAAACTGCTGTAATCTGGAAAGAGGGAAAAACTCTTAAGATTTAGCAAGTCCTGTTTTACCCCGTCACCCAATTACACAGGCCTGGTCTACATGCGCAGCACAGTAAGACAACGGGAGTCCTAAAGGGGTAGCGTGGATGGGAGCACTTCAGACTGCATGTGGCACAGGCCCTTTCAACAATACAAGCATAAGCATGTCCTACGTGTTTAAAAAGACCAGACATGTTGGGGAAAGTGGTACTAGGCCCAGCCCACGCCTTACTGTGCTACTTCCAAAGACCTTTTTATTCAGGGGTCCCTTCAACAGGGCAGTTCCTCCACCTGCAGGCCGGAGTGGTACAGCTCCTCCTGGCACCCCCTTCTGCGGCATGCACAGACCAAGCCACCTTCTTGCAATCTCTTTCCAGTGCCTGGGTGTAGCGCCGGATGAAGGAAAGGCAGCATGGTGGCAGATGCGAGATCTAGGGGTTGCCAGCTCTGAGTTTAGAAACACCTGGAGATTTGGGAGGATGGAGCCTGGGGAGGGCGGGGTTTGCAGAAAGGAGGGGCTTCAGTGGTGTGTTGTGCCAAAGAAGCACTGTATAAACAACGCAGTCAAAGGCACCATGCTGAAGTGCAAAGGAACAAAGAATATTTATATAACACAAATGTGTACAAACAGATGCAATATAGGGTATGCATATGACATACAACAACACAGAGTGTACAAAAGAAGCCGGCACACAGGACATGGGATGAGGACTCTGGATTCCAATCTTCGTTTCGTTGATACTTCTTCAGCTGCTTCATACAGCTTCATCTAGTGCTCAATATATAGAAGCCTTCATGTTATTATGCCGGGAAAAATATCCACAGTTCACATCAAACTAGTTTAGGCAGGGCAGCCAATCATCAATAGAAGCCTCAGAGGCTTACTGACAATATAAGGATGTTCTTCTACTGATGATTGGCTGCCCTGCCTAAACTAGTTTGATGTGAACTGTGGATATTTTCCCCTGCATCTATATCCCCCTATGGGGGATGTGGACTAGCCGCATGGTCTCAGTTGGCCATGAAGGAAGACATGCTACTCCAGGGAAGGGCTTCAAAGTAAGAAAGTTACATGCAGTTGTGGGGGGGAGGATGTATAACAAAAATGGACAAAAGGAAGATTTCAAAAGAGTTCCCAGGGGATGACCAGGGGGTGACTTCGCTTAGTCCAAAGAGCTCAGGGCTGGTCAGTGCTTGGTTGCAAAGTTGCCTGGGAATACTTTGCATACGACATACAATCAAAGAAAGACGACATACAAATGTAACACAGTACTTCAGGGTTTTGTATTCAGAAACTGGCTGTTTTTGTGCACTTGGCTTCTTCTAAAGTCTGCATTTCACACAGTTATAAGTCACTGGGTACCAGTGTTCTAATGAAAGATCATAATAATTTCTTGAGAATTATCTACTTAATCTGATGAAGCACATTCTTGCCTTCAGATGCTTATGCCTCAGCAAGCTCATTAGTCTTCAGCTGTTGTTTTTTAGATGAACAAGACATAAGAGGAGGCCCTGGGTGCCTGAGGAATGGCACCAGGTCGTCATTCTCTGATCAAAATAGCGGACAGCCAGGCATGCCACACTGAAGATTAGGCTGTTTCACTTGGGAGCTGCTACCCAAGGCCAGATTAAGACATGCTGAGGTTCTAGGCGACATCAGCTTTAAGAGGCCCCATGGCATTACCAAAAATTGTACTTTTAAAGTTTTTTGTATTTAGAGGGTCCCCCATAATCTGAGGCCCCAAACTTTTAACATACTGCGTCTGTGCCTGATTTGCCAGTTGTACGGCTGTGGAGAGGAAAGCACTCCAGAGAGTTATCATCACAGCCCAGAAGATTATTGGCTGCCCTCTCCCGTTCCTGGAGGAATTGTATAGTTCTTGATGTTTGAAAAAAGCAAAGAACATTCTGCAGAATTTGTCACACCCTGAACACTCCCTGTTTGAACTGCTGCCTTCGGGTAGAAGATAGAGGACAATTAAAACAAGGACAAACAGATTAAAAATAGTTTTTATTCGAGAGCTATTATTGCTTTAAATGCTGTATGAAATTGGAATTTGGGTGACATTGGTGGTTTAAGTTGCAATGTGAACCTTAAGGGAGTTATGGGATGGTTGTGAATGGTTGTGTGAGTGTATATGTGTATGGCTGTAGATCACTGAAATGATTGCACCTTTAATTTCGTTGTACTGTGTACAATGACAATAAAGTATATTATTATAATTATTATTATTATTTTACTTCACAACGAAAACAAGCAAAGTAAGAATTCCAGACATTTTGTATGTTCCTTTGCCTCAAGCTTGATTTTTTTTAGCAAAATCCTTTCCCTATACTGTGTACAATGACAATAAAGTATATTATTTATTATTATTATTATTATTATTATTATTATTATTATTATTATTATTATTATTATTATAGCTTGCTTAGCTTGTGCAGAAATCCAGCTCTGAAGCTACCCCCGTCCCCAGGCAGATGATCTCAGGACGGAGACTTACCCTAGCCCTGCAGGAAGGAGAAATGTAGTAATAATTCCCAGAGTCCCCTAGTTTGATGCGATGTCTGCACGCACGGGAAAGGCCACTCAGAGCACACTTCCTGTAAAGGGGGAGGCAACGGGGGGGGGGAGCCACAGTTCAGAGAAAGGCTCTTCTTCAGAGTAAGAACACACCCAGTTAGGCAAGCTGCAACAAGCCAAACCCGAAACAGGAGCCTTAACTTTTGAGGGTTTGTGGACATGTAATTTTTGAGAGATGTTGTCACGATATATCCTTTCCTGGCATCTCTTTCCACTATTCTTTGTAACGTTATAACAGTAGTTCCTCTCCCCAAGAAATAGTTGTAATGTTACTAAATGACTGGAAGGCTTTTCCAGGCTATTTATGAGCAGGTTCCTGTGTCAAGGCTTGATATTGGAAAACACCAGTGAAGCATTAGCTTTGGTTAAGGAGTAACCAGCAGCTCTGAAAGCAAAGGGAACTAGGGGTTAGTAACTTATTAGTGGAGCAAACATCTGTATTATCCAGTTTTTAAAAATCACTTACGTTACAATTTGGGACCGGAACCCACTGTGAAAAGGGACCGAGAAAAGGAAAGAAAAAAGGAGGAAACCAAAATCAGGATAAAAACACAAAACTAATTCATAGCATGGGGTTGACCTGCATGAAAACAACAAGGGGAATATGGGGAGGGGGGAAGAACCCAAAGGCCCTGCCGTCCTGCCCCCCCCCCTTGCGACACTCTGAAAGGTGGCTTTTCACCGGCAAGACACCATTGCTCAGAAACAGGAAATACAGATCAGCCCAACTTCAAGTTCAGGCCCTGCCAATGAGGAGGGGGCATTATTCCAAACTTCAGGGCTCTATAGTTCAGACCACAGTGCTCTGCATCAGTTCACACTTATGAACAGATATTTATTTCATAATTAAAACATTTATACCAAGTCCCTTCCTCATGGTGCAAGGGGGCTTACAATAATAGTTACAAACATTTCCAGTTTAAAAGCAAAAGTAAAAATCAAGTCGCAAACCCCAAATCTCCCCCCCCCTCTTCTCCCTCTTAAAAGATGCCTGCCAATTCAGACTCCCTTAAAAGCCCAGGTGAACAGGCAGGACTTGCAGCACCTCCCGAAGATCTCGGGGGGGGGTGTCTCAACTCTTCAGGGAAATATGAGACGTAAGGAAGCAGCTCTTAATAAGTGCTTCAGCTTTATTCAACAAGGTAGGAACGAACACCAACGGGAGAGCAACAGGCTCTCTTTTAAACTATCCGGGCTGACTAAGCCACGCCCCTGTGTAACAGTAATAACCAATCAAAATAGTAACATAACAGCCAATAGGTTCATTTCCCTCCAGAACCTTTCCAGTGTCCTGATTGGTCTTCTACGCAGAGAAGCCAATCAGGTTTCGCTATTTACAATACCAGAGATGGATAGAAGTGTAATTCAAGCTCAGCTATTAATGTATAGGCAATACATAACAGGAACCCATTCCACGGAGCCAGAACCATAATAGAAAAGGCCTGGGCTCTGGTTGATGCCAGATGGGCCACCCTAAGTGGTGGGAGAGCCAACAGATGGCTGCCTGATGACCACAGTTGGTGCATAAGGACTTATGGAAAGAGAGCTCTACGACATGTTGTGCCTGATTCATTTCTAGTCTTCCACCAACATGGCTCTGGTCATCTTCCAGCCTGCTTCACAATGCCCAGCTCCCTGGTAAACCAAGGAGCTGGGGAGCCTCGCAGAGCATGGAAGAGGGTGCTAGGAGCAACTCTGTTTATGGCCCCAGTCGGCCCAACGTTCCATGCAGCTACAAGGGCCTCCTCAGGGTCACCAGGGAGGCTTTCAAACCAACAGGATCCATTAATCCCTGAGGGCGGATAATTTGAATAGGTCCATAGCTCCTGCAGGGAGAAGGCGGCAAACTCAACCACGCCTTCAGAAGAGAGTGTTCTAACCACAACAAGACCACCAGCAAGCCACTCAGTGGAGGAAAAAAGGTCCAGCATATGTCCTTTTTCATGTGTTGGACCCATTACAATCCGAGACAGACCCATGGCTGTCATGCTGGCTATGGAGTCCTGAGCCTGACCAGACAAAGAGGTCTTGGCATATGTCTTGATTCTCCTTGGGGTCCTCAACACCAAATCCAATACCCCCTCTGTCAGCTCAGCCAAAGACCCTGCTGGTAAGCTAGGTGGATGGTACACCAGCAGGATCCCTAATCTGACCCTGGTGCCAGCCTCGGTTTGCACCAGGTACCTAGTGATAGGGAAAGAAAGAAATGCTACACACAAACACCCCGATCCTCCATTTTGAGGTTAGTGAAGGACTTTATACCCAGCTGGTGTGAGCTATGTCAAAGTGACCACATCGGAGTCATCCAGTCTGGTTTCAGTCAAGCAAGCTAGTCTCTTCCTTACTCAACAGGTCAGATATTGTTGCAATTTTATTTCTCACAGACCTGCATGACTCCAAAGTTGAAATGGAACCACCTAAAAGATTCTCTCCAACCACGTTTTGAGGGATAGGATGGAGATCAGACATGCCGCAAGCTCCATTATGTCTCCCTGTGTGTCTTCCTGAACCGACACTCCTCCCACTGCCTTATCATCCCACCTCTAACAGAGGCTGCTGCTTTATACATATTCAGACCATTGACCCATTCAGTCCAGGACTGCTTGTTCTGACTGCCAACGCTTCTCCGGGCCACTTGGACACAGGAAGGTCTCGCGTTTGAGATCCGGGCACTGAACCTGGGACCGTCTCCATGAAAAACAGGCACTGTACCACTGGTACATAGCCCCATGGACCTTCTGGCATGCCACAAAATTCAAGGCGACTCCATTTTTTAAAAAAACCTATAGAAATAAATTTTAAGGAAAAACATTGAAGGAGGTGACCAATTTCGTGTTGGGATTTGTTTCTTGAAAGAAACCAGTTTGCTGTCAAACTCGGACCTTGTTTGCCATGATTCTGTATGCTTCTTATGGATTCTGTATGCCTCGTATCCTGTTTTCTTTTTGTTGCAAGAGGGAGCCTAGGAGCATGTGTGTGGGTGTGTGTAAAGTTGCTTTGCTGGAAGTCGCGCTAGCTTGTAACTGCGTTTATGCAGGGCCTCCCAGCAGGCCCATAGCTACAGTGGGGCCTCCCAGGGCCCAGCCCCCTGACTTCTTCCCAAGGCCCCCCGACTTTGGGGGAGGCCATGCCCACCTGCAGTTGGCTTGGAGTGCAGGCGTGTAGCCCCCGCTTCTTCCTCAAAACATTTAAAGGAACCCTTAAATGCTTTGGGGGAGAAGCAGGGGCCATGTGTGAATTACAGTGCCCCCTGACTTTTTAAAAGGCCCCCCAAACTAAAAAATCCTGGCTACGGGCCTGCCTCCCAGAGGGAGGGTCAGTTCTGTCACAGATCGTCTTAGCTTGAAACATCTTTATCTTTCAATAAACAAATCACTGCCAAGAGAGTGTTGTTGGGAGTAAGTTTGGTTCAGGAGTCTGACATAGTGTCAGAACTGACTTCTCCTCAACACAGCGATTAGCGAAGGAAGTGAGGAAAAGGGGACTACATCCCCTCCAAAATCAGCCAACTCCTAAGGTGCCCCTGACAAACATGTAGAGGGGCCAAAGGGGAAGGAAGACAAGGGGGAAAAGCGCAGGCCCCCCAGGTTTGGACTGGACCGATGGAAAGCCCTGGACTGGGCTACCCCATCAGGGGGGCCCATGGGTGTCTGGCGATGGTGGTCAGATGGTGGTCAGAGGCGGACCACCATCAGGCCTCTGGGATCTTCCGTGATGACCCCAAACACTCGCTGGTGGTGAGAGAGGAAGCGGAGGGCCGCCTCCTGGAAGAGATGGAGTTTGAAGAGATTCAGTAGGAGCTGCGAGCGGAGATCGCAGAGTTGCGCTGGGACACCCAAGAGGCCCTGGGAGACTTGGCGGACACCATTCAGGATGTGCTGCAACAGGAGCTTCGATAGTTGGAACAACAAGCGGGGGTAGGTGGCACAGAGGGGGTCCCCCCCGCCAGGATGTGAGGCCCCTCCAGAACCACTGCCGGTGCGCCCCCATCTGCTGCCCCTAGAGACACACCTGAAGCCACGTTCGACAGGACCCCAGGGAAGCTGGCATTCTTCGTACTCCAGGTCCGGAAGTTCCTGAGAGAGTGGGGCCATACTTTTACCTCGGACGAACACCGGGTGGAATACCTGGGGTCAATGCTATGAGATCAGGCGGCCGACTGATTTGTGGGACTATACAATGTGGGGGGCCCAGAACTCAGAGATGTGGATGCTTCCATGTGGGCCCTCCACAGACTATACAAGGACCCAATGGAGCTGGAACAGGCCAGAACCTGCCTCCAGGGGTTGAAGCAAGGCAGTTGATCTGTCCGGGAGTTCTCGGGTGAATTCAGGACGTATGCAGCCAAGCTGCATGAGTGGCCGGAAGAGGTGCTCATCGAGTTCTACCGAGTGGGCTTGAACCATTCCATTTCGGACAAAGCTCTGGCCCAAGATAGCCCCCTAATTCTAAATGGCTGGATCCAGGTGGCCTGTGAGGTGGAGAACCACTGGAACCTGCTGAAGATATACCATCCAAAGCCGGTGGCCCAAGGTGCCGGGAGGAGAAACGAAGGTGCAATGGGGCTGGCTCCAGGGTTCTGGGAGTGACTGAGAGCAAAGGATGCGGCGAGGTCTGTGCCTGAAGGGTGGGGGCCCTGGACATTTTGCCACCAATTGCCCACGAGAAAAGAGCCCTGGAGGAACCAAGAAGAAAGAGCGCAAGGGACCGGAGAAGAGGATCAAGCCACTCAGGAGTCGCCCCAAACTGCTCAAAGCCCTCCAGTCAGGAGGGAGAGAGGACCCGAAGAGCATCTTGTCCAGCGAGGAGGAGCTTCAACAGCCAGTGGGTAAAGGCCGGGACCTGCTGTGAAAGGTGCTAAATGGCAGCTAAATGGCTCTCACACTAGAATCAGTGCGATCCAATTCCCCGCTCTTTTACATGACTGTGACTGTAGCCAATCCCTCCCTTTGCACCCACGTTTGGGTGCGCGCCCTCATTGATTCAGGGTGTACCTGAGACTTGATCAGCCCGGCACTAGTGACGGCATCAGGGGCCAAGTTACGAGAACTGGAGGAGCCCCTCGTTTTCTCCCAGATGGACAGGACGCCTATGAAGGGGGAACCTTGGTCTTTTATGGTAACCCCCTCAGCTAAGTTCCCAATGGTGTTGGGAAGCCCCTGGCTCTGAGAGCATGACCCCCTTCATCCAAGCCTTACGGTTTCTGGAGCGTAAGCATAGATGGAACCCGGATTGTGGGGGGGGCCCCGCAACCCATGCTAGAGGGGGTGTGCCTGGCCAAGGAGGAGCTACTTCAAATCCCCCCTGAGTATAGAGACTTGGCCAAGGTGTTTGAAGAGGGAGAGGCGGATGAATTGACCCCTCACTAGAACACTGACTGTGCCACTGAAATCTTGCCTGGGCACAAGATGCCCACGGGGAAACTATATTCCATGAGTCCAGCCGAAAAAGAGGAGCTGAGTAGGTTTATCGATAAGAATTTGGCCCGGGGGTTCATTCAGCTGGCAGCTTTGCCGTTTGCTGCTCCAGTACATTTCCACAAGAAAAAGGATGGAGGGTTAAGACTGTGCACTGACGATTGGGGCCTGAATGTGCTGTCATTCCCCCTCCCCCAATAAAAGACTTATTGGCAGAGGCCACTCAGGGGTGAATTTTCACTAAACTGGACTTGAGAGATGCTTATTTTTGAGTGCGCTTCTGAGAGGGGGATGAACACAAGATACCCAAGGGGGGTATATTTGGATAGCCAGAATCAGTATTACTGTGAGGGAGGAGGTTTGTACACAGTTTTCCTTAACCGCAGTCATATTCAACACAGCTGGCTTCCATACAGAGACAGTCTGGAGAACAAAGGCCCGAGTCAGAAGGACTGTCTTCTCCCATACAAGGTTATCAGTGTATGTAGGTCAACTTATAGGACTCCAAGGCTACACCTTCTGAAGCTATGCAACTGGCTACAAAGAACAGAGCCTTCTTGCTGGTGAGCACCATCCTTTGGATCTTCCTCCCTAGTGAAGTTTGCCACGCATATTCACTACTGGCTTTTAGAAGACTAGTGAAGGTTTACTTTGAAAAGTCCTTAGGTGAGGAGATGTGTGTCAAATCCTGGATGCAATCACTCTCACAAACACTCTTGTAACAGCAAGATTTGTTTATTAAGAAGTAGAGAGGTTCCAAGCATAGACAGCTTCTGTGTTGGAACTGGGGTCCAGACGCCAGTTCCGCCAATATACTGAAAACAAGAAATTCTACAGATGCCAAGTGACCAAACACTGCTTCCATTCAACCCGCCACAATCTGCCCCTGACAAGCTCCCCAGACTACAAGGTCACATAGAACGATGAGAACATATACTTCCCAAGGTGTCCTCAATACACTCGGGAGCCCCCTGCATGAGAACTGTTACGAGCTGACACTAACCAAACAAAGCAGACAGCCAAATATATCCACTCCCCCCCCCCAGTTCCCAGCAGAGACAATAAACAGCAAGGGGAAAGAGCAAGGTTGTGTGCAACATAGGAACTGTATAAGAATGCATGTGAATCCGTAACACAACCAATGGAATAATGAAACAGAACATGAGTGTAGGAAATAGGAAATATTTGGCAAGCGAGGCTTGAGCCTGACAATGCGTTGGGCATACATCAGTTCTGATTTCACTACCATTTTAACTACTATCTTGTTCAGCTTCATTATTACAGCTTTAGTGGCAATCAGTCTAAGTTGAAAGGTTCATAGTACAGACTGAAAGCAAGAATTCAAATAAATAAAAGAGCTGAATTCCATAAACAGCTAAGCAGAAGGATCTGATTCATAAAAGAAACTGCTGGTGCAGCAGTGAAGGAAGCCAGGTACGCATCTGTTAGGAACAGAGAGATCTGAGAGAGTCCCTTACTTTGGTCCACCACACTCAATGGCCGACACCTTCACCACAGGAAGAGTCTGGGTAGCCACTGGTTCAATGGTGAGTGTGTTCTGCTCCACGGCTTCCTGAACCAACTCTGACAGCTGCAGCAAAGGAAACAAAAGGCAGGATGATTCAGATCGACAAAATAAGGTGGTAAACCGGGAGTTGTTGTTAGAAGTAACCCAAGTGGAGCAAGACGTGTGGGAGAAAAAATATTTTAACCAAACTCTTTTTGAGCTCACCTCATGCTTGGTGAAGTCTAGACAAGGCCCCACATCTTCCTGGTATATTCTCTCCAGAAATGGACATGATTTATCCAAAGATGGAGACTCCTTCCAAGCCTGGAATTCTGCAAACAAGATGGAATCCACCTGCAGTGACAGAGATGCATGGAATGGAAGGCAGAAGACAACACCACCAGACAAGGCAGCAAGTTATTAGTACACAAGAGCCGAGAAGTTACCTCTGAATAGACAGTATTCACTATGCAACCTATGAGGTGAACAAGCAGACTAAGTGTGAAATGTGAACCAGACTGAACTCCAGTGCCTTAGAATCTAAAAGTCTCTAGACACATAGCAGAAACTACAGAAAGAAGAGAAGGCCATGCCAAGGAAAGATCAGGAAGAGGGAATCTTTCACCAACCACAGCATGTTAAATAAACAAGGACACCTTTAGCCATAAGCTTGTGCAAAGCCCATGGTCATGGGGCTCTACATGCCACTGGATGCATGCAAGATTAATTTCCCTCTACTGTTTACCTTCAGAAACAAACCCCTAATGAGAGATACAACACTGACAGCCACAAAGTGAGTGAATCCCACTGGCATTCAGGAAAGGAAGGAGAACTCTAGTCCATTGTGAGCTTAGCTGCAACCCTGCTACACCAGACAGAGTCCAATTCCCACTCTATCAAACAAGGATTGGCAACATCGGGGGGTGGGGGGGGATGGGACAAATTCAAGAAAAATAATTTTAATATGTGATCTGCTGCTTTTTGGCTCAGTATCAGAAGGTTTGGGACACTGATGATTATGGGGCATATATGCAACTAGGCATGCTGGAAGAAGAAAGAAAGATACAAGAAGTCCCTCCTCAAAGGCCTTTTCAGGAAGCAGATTCACAAGACCAAAAAAATTCATGGCTTTAACTTTGTTAAGAAAGAGACAAGACATTCTTTCTTGCTTTCTTGTGGAGAAACTTCTCTCTGCGTTCACTTTCTAGTTTCCAAGCACTTTACGTCTTCAGCAGCAGAACTGTGAAGTTCACAGACAAGAGACTCTTTTCGAGACCTCAACTTCACTTCCAAATCCAGCAGATACTGCGGCTTCTTTCTTTTCCACCATCCTACTGCTCCAACTATTCCCAGCATGCCCTTCAGGCTTAGGAAAACCTAGAATGCCTCAAAATATGAGGCGTATTGCTGAGCAGCAGAAGCAACTGAGCTGTCCTGAGTTTGGGTGGATCTTCAAGGACCAGGCAGATTCCAAAACTGCCTATTTAAAGAAGGGGTTGTGTTCCTCCCTGCCATTATTATCAAAGCCAATATTTAATAATGGGGGGGAAAACAGAGACGAGAAGAACATAAGAAGTGAATGAAGCTGCCCAGCCCCCAGAGAAAGATCTGAACTGACCGCTGGAAGTGCTGTGCTGCAGAGACTGCTCACCTAATGCCAGGAGACAACTTCAGAGCCACAATATGGAAAAACAATTAGAGAAACAAAACAAAAAAGATGGGTGTTAGTATGGGGGGGAGGAGAACCAAAAAGGGTGGGAACTATAAGAGGCTGTTGTGCTCAGACTTTACTGCCTTTCCCCATCTTCAGTACGTTATTCCCATACAGGGTGACCCAATGGGAAGCAAAACCAGGCCCCAGTCTTTTATACTTGCAAAGAAGAAGGGTTTTCAGTGTGTGTACTTTTTACCATGCTTGCATAACAACGGCCCCAGCCACACGGGCAGGAAAACAAGGGGGGGGAGGCGTGGCTATTTGCATGGTTGCATTCTGATCTGCCACTATGCGATCAGATGTGACAGCGGTGCACCAGGGTTTCGTCCTTCGGCATGTGCTGCAAAGAGGACAGCCGGAGGGAATAGGCGCGCGCCGGCACGATCACACTGAACGAGTCCGTTTGCAGCCCATGGCAAACCATTTGCTAGTAGCTCTTTGCAGGTACCTTTTGACTGCACATCTTTGGCGGGACGCCACAGGTGCACTACGCTTCCCAGATGTTGCGGTGTGATCGCGCCCCGAAAATCCGCCCGACATTCATGCCTTTCGCGTGGCAAATTCTCCATGTGACCGGGGCCAAAGTTTACCTGCCAAGGCAATCCTTTTTCTCCCCTACAACCACAGGAGACCAGCCCTCCTATGCACTGGGTCACCCTATTGCTGCCCCCAGCTTGAGAGAGATTACCTGCCGTGAGGGAGCAGAAGAGAAGGAAGCGTCTGTTGCCAGGGACTGCCAGCCTGGCTCATAGGTGATGTGGATAGCCTTCGCAGGGACGATACAGAGAAGCAGGGAGAGGAGAGTGGGCACCCCAGACTTTGAGGAATGGGACAGTCAGACAGATGGGCAGACAGGGAAGAAAGAGACAGGAAGACAAGGAGAGAAAGCAAAACGGTATGAGAGGGAGAGAAAGACCCTGTTCATAAAGCTGCTGAGCACCTCTCAAGAGAGCCAGTTTGGTGTCGTGGTTAAGTGCGCGGACTCTAATCTGGGAGAACCGGGTTTGATTCCTCACTCCTCCACTCGCACCTGCTGATGTGACCTTGGGTCAGGCACAAGCTCTGGCACAGCTGTCCTTGAAAAAGAGCAGTTTGTGTCAGAGTTCTCTCAGCTCCACCCACCTCACAGGGTGTCTGTTGTGGGGAGGGGAAGGGAAAGGAGTTTGTCAGCCACTCTGAGACTCCAAGTGAAGGGCGGGGTATAAATCCAATCTCTTCTTCTTCTTCTTCTTCTTCTTGAAACTCCAGGCTGCCACAGCACCGAAGGAGATCATTCAGTGGTGACCTACACTTGGATTTAAAGAACTCCCACACTCCTAACAGCCTTACTTTACTGAACCTGGCCAGTAATGCAAGTCAGTTACTTGGTCACCTACTTAAATGGAGCAAAGAAGGATTTACAAGACATAAGACCATTCCCTCCAACCTCTGATCTTATCACCCCTGTGGAAAGTATGCATTGAGAAGTGCCTTGATAAGGCTGCCAACAGGCCTAGTGAAAACTGTTGTGTCCCTTTAAGAGAGGTTTAGTGTGTAGAAATGAGCAGTAGAACCTTTTCACGGCATGGAAGTAAGCATCACCTGGTAAACCACACCCTGCTAAGCCTCTATTAGACGGGACAGGACATTTTTCTCCAGGGCTTATGGCAGCCCCGTAACTCCCCCCTCTTCTCCAGGTTCCAAGCTGTTCTGCTAACAAATAAGTTGGACCTACCTCTTTGAACTCACTGCCAATTGGCTCCGAGGAGGTGCTCTGGTTTGTTGCAGTGACAACAGCGCTGCTGGTGCTTTTGTTGCGCCCATGCCCTTTCCTGAAGGCTGTTTTCGAGGGGCTTTGGAGCTGGGGGTGCAGCTCCCGGTTTGGAGAGGAAGGGGTGGATGTTATCACCAGAGTCTTCAGGGCTGTCACTTCTGCCTGCAGCATGTCAATCTGGGTGTCAGAATGGAAAGGAGTAGGAGTCAGTGCCAGGGCTATTTTTGGGCAGGAACACACAGGAACAGAGTTCCGGCTGGCTCCCAAGTTGGCCACGCCCAGCAGGAACTCATCAGCATAATAGGCCACACCCAACAGCAGAAACTCATTCGGATTGGCTACAATTAGGGGTGTGTGGCCTAACATGCAAAGAGCCCTGGGTTTTGACAACAAACAAGGTAAAGAGAATAAGAAGCAAAAGGTGGGTGTGGCTGGATGACCACACTTCTGGCAACATGGGGGTGTGGCCTAATATGCAAATGAGCTGTGCTGTCAGGGGTGTGGCCTAATATGCTAACGAGTTCCTGCCCTGGGAGTCACTAACACCATGCTCTCTGGCCGGCAGAGGACAAGTCCTTACAAAGGAAACAGATGCTACCTGGATTTCTTTCAAAGCATCTGGCCACTGTCTCATCCTGAACAACATTCAATGAGTCACTCAAGCTCCATTCACTTCTGAGAATTCTAGAAGGGTCACACAGTGTGCCACTTGTGTTCCAAGACCTTTTAGCTCCACTGCTATGCAGACATGAAGGCCCAGACAAAAATGGGGGGGCCAACCCCCCCCCCTTTTTTAGTGTCTTGTTTCCAGTCTCCCAACAGGGGGAAAAAAATAGAAATGCTAACAGAAATCCTATAAAATATTTTCTTTTTGAATGACTGAAGTGCTTTTAAGGCAAGGTTTTGCTCACTCAAAACGTACAGCATGAACATTTTTATACAAGGATCTACAACGCTAGATAATGGTAATCCCTATGCATAACTGTAAGCACATACAACATTTTCAAAAATATTTTTATTGTTTAAATGTGAATAATTTTTGCAACAATTAATATGCTATAAACGTGTTTGATATTATTAAAGAATTCACGGTTTCCAACACCATAAAGTTTAATTTGATATCCAAATGGACTGCTACTCTATTGTGACCTTGTGTTTTTGTCCAAATGCACACCTTTTTATTATTCTTGTGTTCTGTATTTTAAATGTTTATCCTCTTCCTGCCTCTCAGATAATTGAGATACATGTTTTAAGGCAGCACAGGGTGCATTTTTTTGCAGCATGATCTCTCTCAGCAGTTGTGCATATATTCATAGTATTGCTTATAGAAAACTATTTACTTCATTTATACCCAGACATTGTCCCCCAATGGAGACCCAAACAGTTTGCATCATTCTTCTCTCCTCCATTTTATAGTTACAACAACCCTGTGAGGTATGTTAGGCTGAGAGTGTGTGACTAAGCCAAGGTCACCCAGCAAGCTTCCATGGCAGAGAAGGGGCCCAAATCTAAGCCTCCAAGAGCCAAGTCCTACTGTCCAGTTCAACAGCATGAAAATCTCCACACACGTTTCCAGGGAATCGTTATGCTTAGACTACAGGTCTGTTGCCATGATCTACAGGTATATTGTTAGGAATGACAATGGGGCGGATGCATCACTACATATAACATGATCCTGCAATTGGCTAAGCAAATTAAATCCAAGCGCGCGGGGGAATTCTCCCGGAGGGAGGTTACATAATGAACGGGAGACTCTCCATGCCCCATGAGAGCAGAAATATTCACACCAACGGTGGAACGCAAGCCCTCCCTCCTCCTCAAGGTTAGTCAGATAACTCAGTCTGGCAGTGCCAGTTCGCACGGTCTCATGAGCGCCTCCCTATCGTTGTTTACAGCTAGCTAGCAAAGCAAGCATGCGCACTAGCGCCACAGTCAGGAAAGGACAAACACAAGTGAAATACGGCAGCTAGTTGACACCTACACTCTAATCACTACACCACACTAGCTCTGAACTATGAACTAAAGCATTTATAGTTCTAAGTGTCAAGGTTTTCTCTCTCACCCCAGTCCAGGGATGGGAGAGAAACCAAGCATTCAGCAACAATTAAACAAACCCCAGGAGAATGTCTGTACACTCTCCAGGCTTTACCAGTAGTCACTGCCACCAGGATCTCTCACAAAAGGTCCCCACCAAAGATCAGGAGCAGAGATCCCAACTCCTGCCTTGTGCAGGGGGATGGACTAGATGACCCTGGAGGTCCCATCCAACTCTATGATCTATGATCTGCTGGATGAGCAACCAAACACGCTCAAGAATGCAGTTGTGTAACAAGACACAAAGTCTTTGGGTGCTTTACTTTCACCCTGCCAACAGATGGTGCTGCAGCCACATTACAATAGGATTCTTTGCCTACATTTCTCAACAACTATCTGTGGATTCCTTTCAAAAACCTTTAGGCATTTCCTCTGGGCTTGGGGTATACCAGAGATGCTGGATAAACTGGTTCTAACTGCTGAAATGAGTGACACCTAGCTAAAATGGTCCTCAATACAGTCCCCACTTCTTAATCACAGATTGGTTGAACAAGACCCCTACCATCATGTTCACTTGTTATGTGGGCACATGCCCATCTGAAGAACAACGTGAGACAGAAATTCTGCACACTTTTCAGAGTGGGACTGTACTATAATAGCCTGTAGCTCTACCCACTGCATTCTCCAGTGATCTCCATTTGTGCAAACCAGCAGTAATTTTTTTTATATCTTACCTATGTTGTATGGATTTCAGCTGGAATCAAACCCCCTTTTTATTGACTTTGCTATGCATTTATTAGAGTCCTTGTTTCCTAAAAATCATTTGGGACATTGATTTAATGAAACATTCATCTACTCAGTAACTTCATAGGTAAAGGGTTTCCCTTGCTCGAAAGCCAGTCGAATCCGACTCTAGGGATGCGGTGCTCATCTCCGTTTCCAAGCCGAAGAGCCAGCGCTGTCCGAAGACGTTTCCGTGGTCATGTGGCCAGCATGACTAAATGCCAAGGCGCATGGAGCGCTGTGACCTTCCCACCAAAGTGGTACCTATTTATCTACTTGCAATTTCTTGCTTTCGAACTGCTAGGTTGGCAGGAGCTGGGGCCAGAGACGGGAGCTCACTCCGCCATGCGGCACTCGGGTCTCAAACTGCTCAACTACTGACCTTCCGGTCTGCAGCTCAGTGTCTTAACCACTTGAGCCACCGCAGACCCTCAGTAAATGGTGGCAGCGGCAAGCCCCACTCCCAGCTCCCTGTGCCGAACCACTGCAGCCAGGGGGAGGTCCGAAGAGCCCGCACCCGGCTTCCCCAGGCCAACGCCGAACCGCTGTGGCCGAGGGGAGGCCCGAAGAGTCTGGTCTCCCCAGGCCCACGCCAAAGTGCTGTGACCGGGGAGAGGCCTGAAGAGCCCCGCAGGCGGGTCCCCCGGCCCGCACAGAAGCGCTGCAGCTCAGGGGAGGCCTGGAGAGGCCTGAAGCCGGGTTCCCCAGCCCGCGCAGAAGCGGTAAGGGCTCCGTGGGGGTGGTGGTG